AGAGTCTAAACAGCCTGGAGAAAAAGCAACGTTTTTGGACCCTGGAGAATGGTACAGAGGTGGCAGGTTTGACTCAATTGTTTTTAAGAAGGAAGCTGAGCTCTGATTAGTGACCTGCTCCAAGCCATGAGGAGTCCAGGTGCTCTGATATTCTTAATTATGAGCCAATTTGGCAGATGATGGCTTCCCACACATTCCAGAAATAATCATATTCAACCCTCTATTCAACTCATTAATCAGTAGAAAAAATCAGATTAGTAATTTAAATGTTAATGCCATTTTCAAAGTTCTGTTGATTGTGCAACTACAAAAAGCAAGGTAGCCAAGGAGCTAAGAAGGGCAGGGTATGAGAACAGAGTCTTTACCTAACTCATTCTGTAACCACAGGCAAGTTAAAGTTCAACATCCAGCCCCTACCCCTGTAAAATGGGGGGAGCGTTAATAGTAGACTGCACAGAGCGATTATGAAAAGTAAATTTGATGGTGCCTGAAATCAAGTACTGAAAATATGGCAGGTAAGCACGGCTTGAGAAATCTCTTTCTGAAACGTGTGATTTGATTCAAAGATGTTTAGGAACTCAGATTCCTTATTCAGAGAAATCTCAGATTGGAAGCAGAGGTGGTTGTCACTTTCCCACCCCATTGGCACTCCCCCCCCTCAGCCACACACACACACACACACACACACACACACGCACGCACACTCACACAAAGTGGATTTGAAGAGAAGGGCCTGTTCAGGATATACAGTGTTCGTGAAAAGAAACAACGTGATGGTTCTTCTTCCCAAAGACCAACAAGAGGTGCCCCATGGGGTGGGAAATTTGGCGGGAAGTGAGTGAACACAAGTGGGGCATGGGAGGGAGGGCAGTCAGAATAGGGAAGAGACCACTATGATAACGCGTCACTGTATCACTATCATCCTGTTGTTCATCGATTTACTTGAGCGGGCACCGGTAATGTCTCCATTCGTCCCAGCCCTGAGATCTTAGCAGCCTCTCCTTACTCGTCTTTCCCAACACTACCACAATGGAGGCTCTTTCAGGATCAGGGGAATGAGACCCGTTATTGTTACTGTCTTTGGCATATCGAATATGCCACGGGGAGCTTGCCAGGCTCTGCTGTGCATGACAATGATAGGTGGAAATCATCGCTCTGGACAAGATCTGAGTGCTGAAAGGAGGTAAAGAGATATACATGATAATCTTTCAGTACCTGTGTTGCACACTACAATGCCCAAAAGGAAATAGAGAAAGAGAGAGAGGGGGAGAGAGAGAGAGCAAAAGAAAGAGAAAAACAAAAGAAAAGTGCCTGCCATAGAGGCAGGCTGGGAGGGGCGGGGGGACATGGCAGGATGGAAACTGGGAACATGGCTGGTGTGGAATGTATGGCTGGTGAAGAGACAGGTGTTGTATGTACAATATGAATATTGTATGACGGAAACCCCATCACCAACAACCCTGTAACTGTGTATCTCATGGTGATTCAATTTAAAATAATAATAATAATAATAATAATAATAATAATAATAAGTGAATGGGCAGCAGCAACCCTGGTAAGCCAGGTAGGTGGTACACACATCCACAGACTCGGAAACTTGCTTCCCTGGAAGAACCACAGAGAAGAGAAAGTGCCAAGAATGATGGTTTCAGAGGCCAAGCAGAGGGGATGAACATCACCACCACCCCTTCAGAATCAGGTTGCTGAGAGAATCCCCAGAAGGCTTCAGCTTGAGAAATAAGGTCCTGGAGGACAAGGGAGATGGGAAGCCACAAAATGTGCTGCGAGCCAGTGAAAAGAACTGAACAACCCTTGGGATTTAGGGTCCCAGGCTGAAAACCCATCAGCTGGACCAGTGCACCACCCACTCTCTACTCTGAAGCTGGTAGTGGTGAACTAGATGGTGGGCTGGTGAGAGCGAGGCGGGGCGGTAGCTCTGCCAGGCCTGTCAGATGACACGGCTTCACTCACGAGCACTGCAAGCAGTGAAGAGGGGGAAGAGCGAGTGGTGAGAAGACTTCTGCAGCCTCCGAGACCTCCGCACTTCCAAGTCTAAGCTGCGGCAGTAGCCAGAAAGTATCTGTCTTTCTGACTCAACTGGAAGCTGTATTACCGAGAATCCACCAGAAGCGCTGGGCCCGAGTTCGGATGTGCTTCAAGAAGTCCCCTGGCCAGAGGGAAAGGAGCGATTAGCAGGACCCAGAAAGCGGTTGTTGGACCAATAAACCAAGCACACCTGCACATTAAAGACCTGACATTTATCATCTAGTCAAGCGCAAAAATTGGTCTTTCTTGTCCAAGCAAATCTCTTGTCTCTTCTTAATGGGTTTTGTGTTCACATGATACATTCTGAGAATATTTGTATTTTCTCCTTGTGTCATCCTAGTCATAGAGCATGAAATCCTAAGAGGGGGGCCGGAGTGTTAGGACAGCAGAGAGGTCATTTGCCTTGTATGTGACTGACTTGGGTTCGATCCCAGCATCCCATCTGCTGCCCCGAACAAAGTCAGGAGCAATCCCTGAGCGCAGAACCAAGAAAACCCCTGAGCATCTCCAGGTGTGACCAAAAATAGCCCAAATAAATAAGTTTTTTAAAAAATGCCTAAGATATGAGTGGAAATGTTCTTATATGCTTTTGTGCTACTCAACGATTTATTAAAGAATACGCTTTAAGTGACTTGGGCCCCCCACGAGCGGTCTCCTGCTCCCGCGCCTGACTGTCCTCGCTTGCTGAGACCCCTTGGAGGGGAGCGGGTTGAACTTTCCTCCCCACCCCGACCAGGGCTCCGGCAGCTGAAGACCTCCAGGACCAGCCACCACCATGCTGAGACCACTCTCCGCACACATGAAGGTACTGGCAGAGGGACAAAGTCACGCGGGTTCCGGGGCTGAGATCTCCAAGTCTACTCGGATTTGGGTCAAGCATCCTCCACCCAGATCCTCCAAATTCCAGCAGGCGGGGGTCACACCCACCAACTGGCCCCCTGGCGCCGTGCAATCCCATCAACGGCCAAGACTCAGAGACTATAAAAACCAGCTCCCGGAAGCGCACACGGTCGCAGGACATCTTATCATCTCATTCCTACTTTGGACAAACTGGTAGGCTACCGAATGTAACCTGCCCACACGGCAGAGTCTGGCAAACTCCCCGTGGCGTACCCAATATGCCAAATACCAGTAACAATGATGGGTCTCATTCTCCTAAAGAGCCTTGAATATAATCTCAGGGCTAGGATGAAGGAGACGTTACTAGGGCCTGCTCGAGACAATCGACGAATAACGCTTTAAGTACTTCCCCTTTGTCTCATTTTAGAATTGTGACATAGATCCTTTGTAAGTACTTGAACTACAAAAAAAGTCATCCATATTGCACTGTCCAGCTATAACCCTGTTAATATTTACATTCTTCCTAAATTTAATTCGTAAACACACATATCCTATTTAAAATATTTAATTATAAAATAATACAAACTGTTTTGTGACTGCTTTATTAACTTTCAACCCTGAGAAGAATGCCAGGTACTTCATAAAACATCAATAAATGAGACAGAGTCATGCTCAAGTGGTAGAGCAGTTACCGCATGTGCAAGGCCATGGGTTTGATCACTAACAGCCCCAGGTGGCTCTGGAAGCCCCCAAACACCACCAGGAGAGACCCCACCATGAACTATGTCAGTAAATGTTTGTCAATAAATAAGTAAAATATGTTACATGATATTAGATATTCCTTTGTGATATCACTGTTCACAATGACAAAAATTCCATTGTGTAAATGACCATGATAGGTAGAATCAGGTTCTTGGAGAGTTAATGAAGAACAAGGTGTGTGAGGCACAGAGATGCCCCATGTAGTACCCTGCCAGTGGGGAACACACAATAAAGCTGGCAGCTCCAGCCCGATTCTCTGCTAGTCCCCTTCCATGGCTGCCTCAGCCAAAGAAAGCTGCATCCCAGTGTGATGCATACTTATGGGCAGATCAGAGGAGGGAAGAGTTCTGCCCTCTCCTTTCCACAGGTGTACGTCTCAAGGACCCTAAGATGGACACCAAACCCTGTCTCAGAGTTGGCTTCCCAAAGAGCCCAGCTGTTACAATAATGGTCTTAAGCCATGAGAAACTCAATCTACTGTTAAAACAATCAGCAAATTCTTTTTTTTTCTTTTAGGGTCATACTCAGCAATGCTCAGGGGTTACTCCTGGCTCTGTATTCAGGAATTACTCCTGGCGGTACTGAGGGGACCTAATGGGATGTTGGGAATCGAACCCAGGTCGGCTGCGTGCAAGGCACACGCCCTACTAGCTGTACTATCACTCCAGCCCCCCAGCAATCAGCAAATTCTAACACCACTGCCCTAATCTATTTCCAGCACCAGTTATTACCCTGATATGCTAAGCAGTAGCACTAAGTGAAAGGTTGATGCTCTGCATGTTACAGACTGGTTCCAGAGGAGGAGATGAAAGAGAAGAAATAGAGGGGAGGAACAGGACGTTAACAGATACTTGAATCCTCTGAGTACATATGAATGTCTCCCGGTCTATTTGCTCCCTCTATGGGCAAGGTCTCCTGCCCATAGTTCTCTGGACCACTTCCGTGTGAAATTTGCTTAGGTAATCATTCTCCCTATAAAAGTACCATATTCAAGTTACAGAAACAGAAATGACCCTCATAGGTAAACACGTAACACCATGACTATGAACAGTCAATACAAGACCCAAGAGGAGAATTAAGTATCAAATCACACTAAAAATAAAACAATCAACAACAACAAAATAACGTGTGTTGGAGGCAAACCCAGACCTCCAAGGATCCAGAGCAGATGTGAGTTAAGCTCTGTGGAGGTGCTCCCGTCTCATGGAGTCTGAGAGTCTGGAGCCCCAGGAGCATCCTGGCAGAGAGCTGCTTCCTCCTTCTGGCCTCAGGAGGGCGGCTCTGGCAGTAACAGGTTCAGCCCATGAGACCTGTCTCCTCCCAGTCTCAGACCCGTCCCCCTGTCCCAGACACTGGAAGAATTGCTGCAGGGCAGAGAAGTTCTTCAGCCAGAACTGTTTGCAGAGGCCTGGCACTTGACAAGCAGGAGAAGGCACTGTGAGTGATGGGATCTAAGTCTCTGTGGGTTAGTTGGTTACAAGCTGAAGGGTTCAGCTGCTTTCCTGGGAGGGGAGCTCAGGGTCTAAAAGGGCAAGAAATTAATTTCCTACTAATAGACTATAATTTCTTCAATTTTAGGCTAATGTTACTGTTTTGTTCTCCTTAAACGGTATAAATTATTTTCTCAAATGATTTTCTTTTGTGTGTGTGTGTGTGTGTGTGTGTGTGTGTGTATGTGTGTGTGTGCGCGCGCGCGTGGTGGGGGGTTGTATGTGTATTGAATGCCAGAGATAAAACCCAGGGCAGTTTTATGATTGAACTTGAAGCTTTAAGGTTTCTCATACCCTGAAACCTTAAAGGTCTTCTGCATCATGAAAGTTGTGCAACCCATTCTGATTTTTATTTCAAATAACCTCATAGAAAAACCCCCCAAATTCCAAGAAAACCCTTTATTTGGGAAAGTATCTCTATCTCCTAGTTAAATCTCAAACGTACATTTTTTGTAGCCTTCCGTTTCCCTGTGTAGCCAGAAAAGCAAAAGAAATTTAAGGAAATAGGCCGTGTTTTTCTTAACCTATCTCTTAACCCAACAGAGAGAAAATTTCCTGATCTTGTCAGAAATTCTTTGGTCCTGACAATTCCAAAAGGAAATTCCTAATTTAAAGCCAATTTACTCATATCTTCTCTACAAACATTTCTGCTCGGAAATATGTCCACTGAAGTTAGTCAAATAATTAACTTTATCTAAATAACAATTTTAACTATGTAAAATTCCATTATGTAGATAAAGTTAGTTTATTGACTAACTTCACCAATGAGTTATTTTTACTCTTCATCAGTGAGTTGCTCCACCAGGACCACAGATTACAAATGCATATTTTTACTCTAACATTTGTTTGCAAAATATAAATTAAGCTTCAAGTAGTATTAATGTTATTTTTCATTCATATTTATAGGCTTAAAACCCACTTAAAATGGCTTTAATTATTTTTTAAGATATCCTGTATTTCAAAATTAATCCTAATAACTTTTTTGGCAAGCTCCCTGTGACGTATTCAATATGCCAAACACAGTAACAGGTCTCACGATGGAAACGTTACTGGGCCCACAGGAGGGAGCAAATTGATGAAAAATGGGAGGACAGTGCTACCTCTTTTTTCAATTTATTTTTATTTATTTACTTTTTATTTTTTAATTTTTTTATAATGTAGGAGTACTGTTGTTTGTTCAGCCATTGATTAAGCTGATTGACTTGGGCATGAACTACACATTACTTTTTTTTTCTTTTTTTAATTGTATCACTGTGAGATAGAGTTACAAAGCTTTCATGTTTGAGATTCAGCCATATAATGATGGAACACCCATCCCTCCACCATTGCACATTTCCACCACCAACGTCCCCTGTATCCCCCACCCCCCACATCCCAGTTCTCACCCTGCCTCTATGGCAGACAATTTCCCCAATACTCTCTCTCTAACTTGGGTCATTATGTTTGGCTCAAATTTTCCCACAACTATTCAATCCTACCTTCCAGGGGAAGATGCTAGATCAATTATTTTCCATTACTCATTTTGAATATCATGAGAGCCTGTGCAGCCACGATTGTAAATATAAATTTCTAGATTGTAAATGGTTGGGTTCCAGAGACATCTCTGTATAGCACTGATCTATTTGGGGATTCAGTTGGGAGTCTCTGGGGAGGGCTGTTGGTGCGCTAAGATGGCGCCCAGAGGTGAATTGTGGGTGTGACAGCCAGTCTTCTGGGTGGGTGGGGACCTGGAGAGAGACAGCTGGGTCCTCTGCCACCATGCCACCTGGAGATTTAGTCCTGGAATTCTCATGCCGGGGCCTTGCTTGTGGAAGCTCTCGGTCACCAGGATTCCATCTGGAGTAGGTGGGGAGACTACCTGCTTCATATGGGGTGCCCTTGTGAACCTAATGTCTTCTTAAAATAAAAGCCAATGTTTATTATCATTCATGCTTGAATGAAGTCGCTAACACAAAAATGACTTATGGTACACACTATGACAACAGTGTTTGTAAGGAATGGCTCTGGAAAGGAGATGTGTGCTGAAATTGGGTGAAGGACCAAACATGATGGTCTCTGGGTATCTGTATTGAAAATCATGATGCCTAAAAGTAGAGTGAGAGAGACAAAGAAGAAAAGTGCCTGACATAGAGGCAGGCTGGGGGTGGAGGGTGGCAGGAAGGATAGTGGGGATATTTGTGGTGGGAAATGTACACGGATGGAGGAATGGGTGTTGGAACACTGTATAACCGAAACCCGATCACGAAAGCTTCATAACTGTTCATTTCATGGTGAGTCAGTTAAAAAAAAAAGTGGCAGAATTTATGATAGAGGGATTAAGGTATGTGGCTGACCCCAGTTCAATCCGGGACACTGCACATGGTCCTCTGAGCATCACTAGAGTGATTCCCTGAACATAGAGTCAGGAATAAACCAAAGCTAGATGTGGCCTGAAACCCTACCCAAAAATAGTCTAGATTATATGGAATATACATGTACACACATATTTTGGCTAAATATATAAAGAGTCTTACATACATAATGGTAAGATAATTTTCAAATCTTCTTAATAAATGTTTTTGTTAATCCTTCTCAGTAAAAAGGAAAAATATTATTTTTCTTTCTACTATAACAAGCTTAAAAATCAACTTGCAGAGCTAGAGAGATAGTTTTAAAGACTGGAGTGTATACTTAGAAGGCACAGTGTCCTAGACTTGATACCCAACATCACTTGGCCTCAGAAGTACTACTGAATGTTGCTCTAATGACTTCAAGCACTGCAAGGTAGACCACAAAGCAAAACAAAAAAATACATAAAGAAAAACAACTTGCCTGTATTTTTTTAACTACCTGGGAAGAATCATAAATTTTTAATACAATATGGAAGGGCTGGAGAATAGCACCGCTGGTAGGACCCTGCCTTGCACAAAATTGGCCGAAGTTCAATCCCTCCTGGCACCCCATACAGTCCCCAGAGCCTCACAAGAAATGACCCCTGAACTCCGCGTTAAGTAAAAGCCTTGGGAAAGCCAGGTGTGGTATAAAAAGAAAACAACGACAAATAAATAAATACACAGAGAGCTTGAACACCTGTTAGTCAAGCAAAATAATAATAATATAAACAAAAGAGTAAAGAAAGAAATTTCACTTCCTTTATACCTCCCCTCACTTACTTAGAGCACATGCTCAAAGTCTGGAACAGATCCGATACCAATGCTGGAATCTAGGCCTCACGGCCAGGCAGGCTGCCCACACCCCTAATGGCCCACTGACCCTCACGGAAAGAAACCTGAGGATAAGAGGTACTCTAGTCTTACCATTCCCAGTGATTCTGCAGAGTACTTCTGCCCTGGGGCTGGGCATCCCTCAGGTGCTGCTCAGGCCTGAGGTCCTCACTTAGATGCACACATCTGGGCCAGTGCTACATCTCTGTGCTTGATTTAGTTGGTGAACAACTCAGAATGGCAGCTAAAAGCACTTTCTGTGAGGATGAAAGTTTTCAGTGCAACAGCACTAATCAGGGCCAGGGAGACGGCAGAAAGGAGCAGAAGCACATGCTTTATATGTGGGAGCCCTGTGTTGGCCCCTCCATCCCACCCCCAGTCCCAAGAGCACCACTAGGAGTATCTCCAAGTATGGCAAAAAAAAATGATAAAACTAAAGGATTCTGTGGGCTACAGAGGTCAAAACCATAGGAACAAGCTCCTCTTTTATATAATATTTTTAACTTGGGCACCATGATTTATAAAGATATTCATAGCTGTGTTTCAGATATACAGTCTTCCAACACCTATCCCATCACCAGTGTCAACTTCCCTCCACCAATACTCCGCCCCCCCACCAATACCCCCCCTTTACCCTCCCACCCTCCAACTTGTCGCGTTGACAGACACGTTTTCAGTTCAGTTCTTTAGTTTGGTTCTCTGCTTTCAGTTTTGCTGGTTTTACGGTTCAGATATATAGTTAAAATATATCTATATTTAGAGTCTCCTAATATAGAGTCTCCTGCCCCCGTGCCTGGCTGTCCTCACCGGGGCCCCTTGGAGGGGGGAGGGTTGAGTTTCTCTCCCCACCCCACCCCGAGCAGAGCCCCAGCAGCTGAGGACCTCCAGAGCCAGCCACGGCCATGCTGGGATCACTCTCCACACATCCAAACGGGCCTCATGCATGAAAGAACTGGCAGAGGAACCCAGGCATGCGGGTCCCGGGGCTGACGTCTCCAAGCCTACTCGGGTTGGGACTGGGCCTTCTCCAACCAGACCCCCCATCTTCCACTAGGTAGGCATCATAACCATCAGCTGCTGCCAGCACCAGGTTGGTCCCATCAACGGCCAAGACACAGAGACTATAAAACCCAGCTCCCGGAAGCACGCGGCCACATTCGCGGCTGCACGACATCTTATTATCTTATTTTTCCTTTGGAGAACCTGGCAGGCTACCAAAAGTATCCTGCCTGCACAGCAGAGTCTGGCAAACTTCCCATGTCATACTCAATATGCCAAATACCAGTAACAATGATGGGTCTCATTCTCCTAATCCTGAAAGAGCATTGAAATGGCTCTTTTAAAATCTCAGGGCTAGAAAGGAGACGTTACTGGTGCCTGCTCGAGGAAATCGACGAACAACAGGATGCTTGTGTGATATAGTTAAATAACACCTCCTTACCACCAATGTGTCCAAGGCCTCTGCTCCAGCCCCCTGCCGCTGTTACCTCCCTTTTGTGTCTTATTCCTTTCCCCCTTCAGTTTCTCTCCGTCTCTGCCCTCAGTTCCATCAGCCAAGCCCTGGAGTAAGCTAGCTTCCTTCCTTTGATGCTTTTCCTTGTCCTGTTATTCTACATACCACAGAAAAGTGAGTTCATCAAGATTCATCTCTCTTCTAACCTACTTCATTTAACATGATATTTTCCATTTCCAGTTAATTTTTATCCTTCCTAGAGATCCATCCTACCCTAACTTTAAACAAACC